CAGGTCTACTATAATGAAGGCTGGTTCAACAACAAGCCCTCCCTCAGGTCTACTATAATGAAGGCTGGTTCAACAACAACCCAACCCCTCCCTCAGGTCTACTATAATGAAGGCTGGTTCAACAACAACCCAAGCCCTCCCTCAGGTCTACTATAATGAAGGCTGGTTCAACAACAACCCAAGCCCTCCCTCAGGTCTACTATAATGAAGGCTGGTTCAACAGCAACCCAAGCCCTCCCTCAGGTCTACTATAATGAAGGCTGGTTCAACAACAACCCAAGCCCTCCCTCAGGTCTACTATAATGAAGGCTGGTTCAACAACAACCCAAGCCCTCCCTCAGGTCTACTATAATGAAGGCTGGTTCAACAACAAGCCCTCCCTCAGGTCTACTATAATGAAGGCTGGTTCAACAACAACCCTCCCTCAGGTCTACTATAATGAAGGCTGGTTCAACAGCAACCCAAGCCCTCCCTCAGGTCTACTATAATGAAGGCTGGTTCAACAACAAGCCCCTCCCTCAGGTCTACTATAATGAAGGCTGGTTCAACAACAAGCCCCTCCCTCAGGTCTACTATAATGAAGGCTGGTTCAACAACAACCCAAGCCCTCCCTCAGGTCTACTATAATGAAGGCTGGTTCAACAACAACCCTCCCTCAGGTCTACTATAATGAAGGCTGGTTCAACAACAAGCCCTCCCTCAGGTCTACTATAATGAAGGCTGGTTCAACAACAAGCCCTCCCTCAGGTCTACTATAATGAAGGCTAGTTCAACAACAACCCAAGCCCTCCCTCAGGTCTACTATAATGAAGGCTGGTTCAACAACAACCCTCCCTCAGGTCTACTATAATGAAGGCTGGTTCAACAACAAGCCCTCCCTCAGGTCTACTATAATGAAGGCTGGTTCAACAACAAGCCCTCCCTCAGGTCTACTATAATGAAGGCTGGTTCAACAACAACCCAACCCCTCCCTCAGGTCTACTATAATGAAGGCTGGTTCAACAACAAGCCCCTCCCTCTGGTCTACTATAATGAAGGCTGGTTCAACAACAACCCAAGCCCTCCGTCAGGTCTACTATAATGAAGGCTGGTTCAACAACAACCCTCCCTCAGGTCTACTATAATGAAGGCTGGTTCAACAACAAGCCCTCCCTCAGGTCTACTATAATGAAGGCTGGTTCAACAACAACCCAACCCCTCCCTCAGGTCTACTATAATGAAGGCTGGTTCAACAACAAGCCCTCCCTCAGGTCTACTATAATGAAGGCTGGTTCAACAACAACCCAAGCCCTCCCTCAGGTCTACTATAATGAAGGCTGGTTCAACAGCAACCCAAGCCCTCCCTCAGGTCTACTATAATGAAGGCTGGTTCAACAACAACCCAAGCCCTCCCTCAGGTCTACTATAATGAAGGCTGGTTCAACAACCCAAGCCCTCCCTCAGGTCTACTATAATGAAGGCTGGTTCAACAACAACCCAAGCCCTCCCTCAGGTCTACTATAATGAAGGCTTGTTCAACAACAACCCAAGCCCTCCCTCAGGTCTACTATAATGAAGGCTGGTTCAACAACAACCCAAGCCCTCCCTCAGGTCTACTATAATGAAGGCTGGTTCAACAACAACCCAAGCCCTCCCTCAGGTCTACTATAATGAAGGCTGGTTCAACAACAAGCCCCTCCCTCAGGTCTACTATAATGAAGGCTGGTTCAACAACAAGCCCTCCCTCAGGTCTACTATAATGAAGGCTGGTTCAACAACAACCCAAGCCCTCCCTCAGGTCTACTATAATGAAGGCTGGTTCAACAACAACCCAAGCCCTCCCTCAGGTCTACTATAATGAAGGCTGGTTCAACAACAACCCAAGCCCTCCCTCAGGTCTACTATAATGAAGGCTGGTTCAACAACAACCCAAGCCCTCCCTCAGGTCTACTATAATGAAGGCTGGTTCAACAACAAGCCCTCCCTCAGGTCTACTATAATGAAGGCTGGTTCAACAACAACCCAACCCCTCCCTCAGGTCTACTATAATGAAGGCTGGTTCAACAACAACCCAAGCCCTCCCTCAGGTCTACTATAATGAAGGCTGGTTCAACAACAACCCAAGCCCTCCCTCAGGTCTACTATAATGAAGGCTGGTTCAACAACAAGCCCCTCCCTCAGGTCTACTATAATGAAGGCTGGTTCAACAACAAGCCCTCCCTCAGGTCTACTATAATGAAGGCTGGTTCAACAGCAACCCAAGCCCTCCCTCAGGTCTACTATAATGAAGGCTGGTTCAACAACAACCCAAACCCTCCCTCAGGTCTACTATAATGAAGGCTGGTTCAACAACAACCCAAGCCCTCCCTCAGGTCTACTATAATGAAGGCTGGTTCAACAACAAGCCCTCCCTCAGGTCTACTATAATGAAGGCTGGTTCAACAACAAGCCCTCCCTCAGGTCTACTATAATGAAGGCTGGTTCAACAACAATGCCTGTCTTTTTTATCCTGGTGGTTTTATGACATCATTACATGTAACCTTTATTTATTGTTGTTGTTGTTTAAAAAAACGAACAGATTGCTTGTTTTTTGTTGAATTTTATTAAAACCAAACTTATTAGAAGGATTCATTGTCCTGGTTTTATGGTGAGAACGTCCATGGCGCATGCAATGCACCTTCTGGAGAAGTGTGAATGTGATCTGTAAGATGGTTCCAATATGTATATAAAACATTATATTTGTGAGCAGTAAAAGGGATTGGACACTCTCTTTCTCTTTACATTGGATCTTTGTCCAGCTACTGTTTAAAGTTTGGATGTGCATAAAACCCTCCATAGTCTGCGTTGTTTTAATATTATAAGTATATTTAGACATAGCCTATTTAAAACCAGTTGTTGTTTCTTTTTGTTTAGAATTAGACAATAATTATTTGCTCTCATTTTAGGCCTTATCAATAATGAATTTAATCTTGCTTATTGACAATGTTTGGCATGTCCATGCTCAGCCATAATGCAATTTACAGTAGGCCTAGCCCTTATATCAGTGTGAATGATATGTACACTACCGGTCAAAAGTTTTAGAATACCTACTCATTCAAAGGTTTTTCTTTATTTTTTACTATTTTCTACATTGTAGAATAATAGTGAAGACATCACAACTATGAAATAACACATATGGAATCATGTAGTAACCAAAAAAGTGTTAAACAAATCAAAATATATTTTATATTTGGGATTCTTCAAATAGCCACCCTTTGCCTTGATGACAGCAATCTATATCTGCACTTTAATTCGCAAAGCTTTATGCTAGAAACAAGCTGTAAAATGCTGACCATGACACATACGGGATATCTTTGGTTTGTCTCTATGACATTCAGAGTCTGCGTTACAACCTTTTATAGCCGAGGAGACAAAATATTGACTTTGCTTGGGAATAAACTGTAGCTTACCACTGCTAACGAAGAACTATAAACTGTAGCTAACCGCTAACAAATAACTATAAACTGTAGCTAACTGCTAACAAATAACTATAAACTATAGCTAACTGCTAACAAATAACTATAAACTGTAGCTTACCACTGCTAACGAAGAACTATAAACTGTAGCTAACTGCTAACAAATAACTATAAACTGTAGCTAACTGCTAACAAATAACTATAAACTGTAGCTAGCTGCTAACAAATAACTATAAACTGTAGCTAACTGCTAACAAATAACTATAAACTGTAGCTAACTGCTAACAAATAACTATAAACTGTAGCTAGCTGCTAACAAATAACTATAAACTGTAGCTAACTGCTAACAAATAACTATAAACTATAGCTAACTGCTAACAAATAACTATAAACTGTAGCTTACCACTGCTAACGAAGAACTATAAACTGTAGCTAACCGCTAACAAATAACTATAAACTGTAGCTAACCGCTAACAAATAACTATAAACTGTAGCTAACTGCTAACGAAGAACTATAAACTGTAGCTAACTGCTAACAAATAACTATAAACTGTAGCTAACTGCTAACAAATAACTATAAACTGTAGCTAACTGCTAACAAATAACTATAAACTGTAGCTAACTGCTAACAAATAACTATAAACTGTAGCTAACTGCTAACAAATAACTATAAACTGTAGCTAACTGCTAACAATAACTATAAACTGTAGCTAGCTGCTAACAAATAACTATAAACTGTAGCTAACTGCTAACAAATAACTATAAACTGTAGCTAACTGCTAACAAATAACTATAAACTGTAGCTAGCTGCTAACAAATAACTATAAACTGTAGCTAACTGCTAACAAATAACTATAAACTATAGCTAACTGCTAACAAATAACTATAAACTGTAGCTTACCACTGCTAACGAAGAACTATAAACTGTAGCTAACCGCTAACAAATAACTATAAACTGTAGCTAACCGCTAACAAATAACTATAAACTGTAGCTAACTGCTAACGAAGAACTATAAACTGTAGCTAACTGCTAACAAATAACTATAAACTGTAGCTAACTGCTAACAAATAACTATAAACTGTAGCTAACTGCTAACAAATAACTATAAACTGTAGCTAACTGCTAACAAATAACTATAAACTGTAGCTAACTGCTAACAAATAACTATAAACTGTAGCTAACTGCTATCAAGGAACTATAAACTGTAGCTAACTGCTAACAAATAACTATAAACTGTAGCTAACTGCTAACAAATAACTATAAACTGTAGCTAACTGCTAACAAATAACTATAAACTGTAGCTAACTGCTAACAAATAACTATAAACTGTAGCTAACTGCTAACAAATAAATATAAACTGTAGCTAACTGCTAACAAAGGAGCTAAAGGATAATATAGTAATGGACAATGTAATGTTTTCAGAAAGAAATGGCAAATGCATATGGGCAATAGAATGCTCTTTTAATATAATGGCAGATTAGACTGTGTGCGTGTTCGTGACGAGTGGGGATAGATCTACTTCGTCACACAACTATATATTTTCAAATGAAGAAAGCATTTTTCTTTTATTCCCTCTTTCCTTGATCACAGCATAAGGTTTGACTTACCTTTACAGAATGATTGTGGAAATCTGTCACAATGATTTCATTCTTGTTGTTCACTGCAACAAAGTGTGGACCTGGGGGAGAGAGAGAGAGAGAGAGAGAAAGAGAGAGACAGAGAGAGAGAGACAGAAAGAAAGTGATGCATGTTAGCATGACTAATGTCCTCTACAATACTGGTTTGATTACTTACATTTACTTTTAGGTTTAATTTATTTGCACCAAAGAAAATAAGTGAAAAACAAACAATACATATAAATAAATATAAAATAAACAGTCTGCAGGTGGTTGGAAGCCCAAGGGCTTATATGAAAACCACACCACAAAAAAACTATATACAATACATAAGTACAAAAAATAAAAAAGGTTTGTTAAAACAGATAACAAAACCCACTAATCATAAATGTACAAATTAACCGATCAGGTTGATTACATACATTTGATCCAGAGATCGATAGAGATCTCTAGATGGTTATAACTGGTTTTAGCATGGACATTGCCATTGAGGGCTTCTACCATTTTAAAGTCGTCAACTGGGTGGGGATTCCTATTGGTTGGGAGCAATCAGCCAATGATCAGAAACCATTGTCTTCTTCTTTAAATTGGGTTGCCTATAGTTTGTAAATGGCTTGGGTTGCCTATGGTTTGTAAATGGCTTAAAGCTATATCACTGCCATCTAGAGGCCACAATAGATGAATGACACAAGATTTGGTTCAGGACTCAAACACTTCACCAATATTAGCTTAACACTTTTTTTAAAACACAAAAGAAGAAGACAATTGACTACTTTGAAATGGAGATGCCATAATGGCACAAATACAAAGATAAGATCTCTATCTATCTCTATGGTTTAATCATACTCATTTTCAGTACTACCGATTATTTTAATTTAACTCATTGTTCAGGTGTTTTGAAATGTCTATGGATGTAATATTTATTCACAAATGGGTTCGTTTCTAATCAATTTCACTAAATTCCTGCTCATTCATCTTATACATTACATTAAACACAGTTAGAACAACAATGATTGTAACGATCATGATATTATGATGACATATGTATCAATCTTTTGTTATGTTTGACATATATCAGGCACAGAGTGATCTGGGAAGATTTCAGATACAATTTCAAGGGCCTACAACGTCAGGGCAGGAGATGCAGGTTAGACAGAATAGTGCAGTCTGGGTAAGGGGCGGGGCCACACTCAATACTTACTGAACACTGGGCCAGATCTATTTAAGTTTGCACCACTTTTTTCTAAAACAGAAACAAAGGGAGAAAAAAAACAACAAAAAAAAAAAGACAGAAAGAAACAAACAAAGGTAGAGTCAGAGATGAAAAGACAAAACAACCTAAATAACAGAGAGGTTTTTCTCCTTCTGCAGGAAGACATGGTTTCCAATGGCAACCAGGGCCATGGCAGCCATCTTGTATCCCGCAGGTGTCAGATAGGTCAATCTGAACGTGGGTCGTGTTCAGGAGGAACGTTTCATAACGATCAGATACAAAATGGGTTGTGTAGAACAGTCTCAGAGTAGGATTGCTTGATCTAGGATCAGTTTTTAGATCCCAATTAATAAGAGTACGTGGACGGGGAGGACCTGGGCCCATATCCACAAAGCGTCTCAAAGTAAGAGTGCTGATTCAGGATCTGTCCGTCTTATTCATTATGATCTAAAAGGCGAAACCGATCTTAGATCAGCACTGCTACTCTGAAAGGCTTTGTGGATACTGGCCCTGATCCTATATCAGCACTGCTACTCTGAAAGGCTTTGATACATACAGTATATCCCCAGATAATATAAAGAATAGGAAATAGTGTCAGCTGTACTCATCACATCGCTGTCTGAACGTTTCACATCACTGAACATTCTAGGCTCCAACCCCTTACCTGCAAACTGTCTCTCGGACGTCCCCCTGGCGCCAAACTTGGTGACCAGCTTCCCGTTGGACTGGAAGATGAAGACGCAGCACGCCTTGTTGTCCACGGCAATGATGTGTCCGTTCCTGTCCACCGCCACGCCCTTGGGACCCAACAGGCGCCCCGCCCCGATCTTATTCTGAGTAAAGTAACAGAAAATTACAGCCAATGTTTTGTGGTTAGAGTCGATAGGACGGCTGTCGTTCATTAAAGCTGTGTCTTACCCTTAAGGCTGGAATCCTTAGTAAAAAAAATAAAAAAATAACAACGCGTCGGCCAGCCTCTGTTTTGGTAAGTAGCTGAGGGATGGGCCTGGAATAATGTAACCACTCTCAAATTCATAGACAGAGCAATAGATTCAAGGACTGACCATCCATGATATCAACGTTATAGTATTAACCATGTTTTCAGGCTATACAGGGTTTGTTTACATTAGTTTTTTTTACAAAGATTGGAGTAAAACAAGTTTCTATTTGGGGTTCTGATGGGGAACGACAGTTGAACTAAGCTCATGAGGCATTTATAAGTGATATTCTTCAAGAATCAATGGGTACATATCGTTCATTCATAAGTCAGAAAATGTATGTAGCAACTAATGATTCTAGCTTTAAAACTGGAGAGGGAGTCTCACGACCTCTGATGACCTCATGACCTCTGACCTCTTACCTTGAACTTCCCATCGGAGGAGAAGATGCTGACCCATCGGTTGTCGTAGTCGGCCACGATGATGTCACCGTTCATATCCACGGTAACGCCTGTGGGTCGCTGCAGTTGCCCCGGCGACCGACCTCTGACCCCAAACCTCATCTTGAATTGCCCTTCATTGGAGAACACCTGTCGAGGTGGCGGGACAACAGACAGCAGTGAGACTTAAATATCTTAAATAAACAAATAAGTGTTTACAGTAAAGCTTCATTATGGGTCTACCAGTACTGCGTGCTCTTAGTATGCCCTCTGTAGTTGTATACCACATTAGTTTCCCCTCTCCTGTGTTCTATAGATGGTCTCTTACCTGTATACACTGGTTGTTACTGTCTGGTCCTACCTGTATACACTGGTTGTTACTATCTGGTCTCTCCTACCTGTATACACTGGTTGTTACTATCTGGTCATCCTACCTGTATACACTGGTTGTTACTGTCTGGTCCTACCTGTATACACTGGTTGTTACTATCTGGTCATCCTACCTGTATACACTGGTTGTTACTGTCTGGTCCTACCTGTATACACTGGTTGTTACTATCTGGTCCTACCTGTATACACTGGTTGTTACTGTCTGGTCCTACCTGTATACACTGGTTGTTACTATCTGGTCATCCTACCTGTATACACTGGTTGTTACTGTCTGGTCCTACCTGTATACACTGGTTGTTACTATCTGGTCATCCTACCTGTATACACTGGTTGTTACTGTCTGGTCCTACCTGTATACACTGGTTGTTACTATCTGGTCATCCTACCTGTATACACTGGTTGTTACTATCTGGTCATCCTACCTGTATACACTGGTTGTTACTATCTGGTCATCCTACCTGTATACACTGGTTGTTACTATCTGGTCTCCTACCTGTATACACTGGTTGTTACTATCTGGTCATCCTACCTGTATACACTGGTTGTTACTATCTGGTCCTACCTGTATACACTGGTTGTTACTATCTGCTACCACCACTCTGCCGTTGCTGGAGGCCGAGATCCCTTGCAGGTTGGTGAACTCTCCCTTCTCCCTCCCCCGCGTACCTAGACCACAGGTAAACACACACACGCACACACACACACACACACACACACACACACACACACACACACACACACACAGTCACGTCTCTACCATCACTTTATATATGCTTCATTATTGTACCTGGAGAGAATAATGTAGACTCCTCCTTCCATCTGGGCTGTTTTTCTGTCTCTCACAGACAGCTCTCAAGTTACACAACAACAACAACAACAACAATCAGATGACCAGGTGGTGGCTGTGGCAGTGTTGTGATGTTGTTGTCTCACCGACTCTGTGGATGAGTTCATCCTCGATGGGGTTTTCCTTCTTTCTGGTGCTGTACATGCTGGAGGGTCTCCTCACAGCCTTCTGTCTGACATGACCCCCTGTCCCTCCAGGACTCTTCAGCCTCCTCTTCACGTCATCCGGAGACCGCAGCGCGTCCGAGGGCTTGACCGCCCGCAGCCGGAAGGGACTGCCCCGTACCGGCTGGCCGTAGAGGGACAGAGCGACGGAGAACTCCCCCTCAGACCGTAGCGTGTATCCCACCTCGTACGTCCCGTTCTTGTTGTCCGTCACCTCCGGTTCCGTGACAACGCGGCTTCCGTCGGCCACCGCCGTGATCTCGGCCCTCAGCGCCGCGTTTCCCTGTTCGCACCAGCTCGCCGTCCTTGTCTTTGGTCGTCACGGTGATGCTGACGTGTTGTCCGGTTGCTGCGTGGCGTAGTCCCCTCTCCTGTGGCGACGGAGGTGTGGCCTACGGCTGCCGTGGTGATGAGGACGCCCAGGTTCTGGATGGAGCGACGCAGGCCCTCTGTCTCCACCTGAAGGGGGGGGTAGGTTAATTAACCACACACTTCCTGTTTATGCTGACCTCATTTCCTGTCCCAGGCTTCCCCAGCTGGTTTGCGGACTATCATTTATTCTATGAACCCTGAAACCCGTTCCTAGCCTTAACATTAAACCATACACGTTTTTAGTTTAACAAAATGTTTTTAGCAACATTCCGGTTTGGATGAACCACGGCTCAAGACAGGAATAAGAAGAATACACCGTGGCCCATAGTGTGGGACTGTATCCGGTATCCTACCTGACAGTCCAGGTGTGTATCCGGTATCCTACCTGACAGTCCAGGTGTGTATCCTGTATCCTACCTGACAGTCCAGGTGTGTATCCTGTATCCTACCTGACAGTCCAGGTGTGTATCCTGTACGTCCTACCTGACAGTCCAGGTGTGTATCCTGTATCCTACCTGACAGTCCAGGTGTGTATCCTGTATCCTACCTGACAGTCCAGGTGTGTATCCTGTATCCTACCTGACAGTCCAGGTGTGTATCCTGTATCCTACCTGACAGTCCAGGTGTGGTATCCGGTATCCTACCTGACAGTCCAGGTGTGTATCCTGTATCCTACCTGACAGTCCAGGTGTGTATCCTGTATGTCCTACCTGACAGTCCAGGTGTGTATCCTGTATGTCCTACCTGTCAGTCCAGGTGTGTATCCTGTATGTCCTACCTGACAGTCCAGGTGTGCGTTCTGGTGAGGGCGTTCAGGGAAGTCGTGACGAGCCATGGCAGAAACCCGCTCACTCATTTGTTTCTGCACCATCAGTACCTACAACACAACAACAGGAAAATAATGCTGCATTCATAACCAAGTGGGAATTACCAGTTTTGAAGTCGTAAATATAATTTGGGTGCATTCATGTTTTGAACTGGTTCTTACGGAAAAAACACATGATTTCACATATACTGTAAGGGGGGGAAATACCACCCAACATGGAGGTAATTGGAGGCTGGTGATTGGTTTGTTCTTTTTTGCCCATAGAAAGTACATCTAGAACTGCTTTCTGTTTGACATTTTATTTATTTAGCAGACACTCTTATCCAGAACGACTTACAGTAGTGAGTGCATACATCTTCATTCATACTGGTCCCCTGTGGGAATCGAACCCACAACTCTGGTATTGCCATGCTCTATCAACTGGGCCACACGGGACCAATACATCAAATGGAAGATGAACAGAATACATTTTGCATCAATAATTTGTATTTATAAACAATAACTGCTGAAGATGCCGCTGTGCTTGCTGTCCTTTTTGTTGACAAATGACATCAGAAAGGTGCAAGTGGGGAACTCAGAGCTCAGGGATGACAGACGAGTTTCCCACTAGTAATTACCAGTTGGAGGGGAGTTCAAGTGGATTTTTCCAAGTCGTATACTGATACTTATTAAATTAAGCGATGTTGTGAATGCAGCTTGGAGCTGCGTCTCGAATGGCATCCTACACACTAAGGAAATAGGGTTCCTCAAGGGTTCTTTGGGAAGGGTGATGGTTCTATGTGGAACCATAATGACTCAAAGAACCCTCTGAGCCCTTCAATGGTTCTTTGCAGCTCACAAAGGGGTTCTTTCCTCTTTTAGTGATAATTAAATGGAGGGAATGGCGAATCATTAGAATATTTTGGGGGTGTGGTTTGCTCACAACTCTTGTTGTGCAACCTTGAGTGAGAGTGGCATTCCAGTTGATCTAATGTGTTGTATATTGCCATTATATATTATATATGACTATGGCCAGTGACAGTGTCTTGTGAGTGACTCATGTAAGGCCTTGTGTCAATAGAGAACAGCTGACTAAATCAGTGGTTCTCCATTCTCTCCTCCGGGACCCCCCAGCTGTTCCAGAGGTAGCATACCTGATTCAACTTCCAAATTAAAGGGAAAATCCACTCATAAACTATCTTTTGGTATTATTTTTTTTTAAATTAGTCCATGATGCATTTTGCATCATGATGATGATGTGGCCGGTGACACTTTGCTTCTTGAAAGTCCAATATCTTGAAAACTGCTGACATTTTGGGACTGTATCAACAGTGGACTAATGAAAAACATATCAAAAGATTGATTTGAAGTATAGTAATAGCAGCTAAGAAATTGAAACAATATAATATTATATATAATATTATATTATATATAATATTATATATATATATATATATATATATATATATATATATATATATATATTGTATTATATATATATTATATATTATATAATATAATATGGCTGACCAGAATAACAAACCCTGTACTGGTTCTTCAAAATGATTTACAAAGAACCTTTATGATTGAGAAGGTTCTTTATAGAACCATTCTCCATAAAGGTTATATAAAGAACCATACAAATGGTTCTATATAGTCCCCTAAAGGGTTGTAACCATAGCAGAACCCTTTTTTTCTGGTGTTTATATAGAACCTTAAAAAAAAAAAAAAAAAAAAGGTTTAGCACCATACAGGTTCCATTTAGAACCTTCTGAACATGGTTCTTTATAGAACCTTCAAAAAGGTTCTATATAGCACCAAAAAGGGATCCGCTATGGTTACAAGACAAATAACTATTTTTTTGTAATATATAGAACCAGTTGTTTTTAGTGTGTAGGCTATTCCCTATATAGTGCACTACTTTATACAGGGAATAGGGAAGCTATTTGGGATGCATCCTGGGACTTTACCGTGTTCAGCCACAACAGTGTAAAGCAGTTATGTTTTAACATAATGGTATTAGGACTTTATATGTACAACCAGGTACCATTTAAGGTGTAAAGTTGTGCTTATACCTGTGTAGTAACACTGTAATTAGTTGAGCAATACATTTGTAATAACATGTTATGTGATAGTCATTGCTTTGTAAGCGCATAGTAATGGAGTTGATGGTTAACCAGTCTACTAACCTCTGTGGCGCTGCCGTGGCTCAGGGCCTGTTCAGTAAAACTACAGCTGCTCTGGATGTGATCCTTCCCCTGGAGGAGAGAGGAGAGCTGGGCCTGGAGCACCTGGAGACAGGGAGGAGAGGTTGGAGAGGTTGGAGACAGGGAGGAGAGGTTGGAGAGGTTGGAGACAGGGAGGAGAGGTTGGAGACAGGGAGGAGAGGTTGGAGAGGTAGAGACAGGGGAGAGGTTGGAGAGGTAGAGACAGGTGGAGAGGTAGAGACAGGGAGGAGAGGTTGGAGAGGTTGGAGAGGTTGAGAGTAGTAGAGACAGGGAGGAGAGGTTTGGAGAGGTTGGAGAGGTTGGAGAGGTAGAGACGGGGGGAGAGGTAGAGACAGGTGGAGAGGTAGAGACAGGGGGAGAGGTAGAGACAGGTGGAGAGGTAGAGACAGGGAGGAGAGGGGTTGGAGAGGTTGGAGAGGTAGAGACAGGGAGGAGAGGTTGGAGAGTGAGAGACAGGGAGGAGAGGTTGGAGAGTTAGAGAGACAGGGAGGAGAGTTGGGAGTGGTAGGAGAGGTTGAGAGTAGACGGGAGGAGAGGTTGGAGAGTTGGAGACAGGGAGGGAGTGAAGGTTGGAGAGTTTAGAGACAGGGAGGAGAGGTTGGAGAGGTAGAAACAGGGAGGAGAGGTTGGAGAGGTAGAACGGGGGAGAGGTTGGGAGAGTTGGAGACAGGGAGGAGAGGTGGAGAGGTTGGAGAGTTAGAGACAGGGAGGAGAGGTTGGGAGAGGTAGAGACAGGGAGGAGAGGTTGGAGAGGGTAGAGACAGGGAGGAGAGGTTTGGAGAGGGTAGAGACAGGGAGGAGAGGTGGAGAGGTTGGAGAGTTGGAGACAGGGAGGAGAGGTTGGAGAGTGTAGAGACAGGGAGGAGAGGTTGGAGGAGGTAGAGACAGGGAGGAGAGGTTGGAGAGGTTGGAGAGTTGGAGACAGGGAGGAGAGGTTGGAGAGTTGGAGACAGGGAGGAGAGGTTGGAGAGGTAACATATGGAATTGTTTTAAGATGTTCATACCAAGTATCGTTAAACTTTTTGATTTAGAATTGTAGGACCCATTTTATTTAATTTTTATGAAACATTGAATTTGGCCTTACTGCTATAAACCAATAGAAATGCATTGAATAACAGATTAATAAATGTAAACACAGATAGTCAACTCCAAACCAATTATCTAAAGGAAGTTTGTTTTGAAGTGTCTGAGAGATATAAGGAAGAGCAGGATTTTTGTATATATTTTTTTACAAATATTTAACCCCTTTTTTAGGCACTAAACTAATTCCATATATACTTCCATTCATTTTTTATACTGGTACTGAGTCCTGTGAGGCTTGTGGGCGTCCTAGAGCAAAACAACCAATAAGTTCGTGTTCGTGAGAACCTCATCTTACCATAGAGTGGTCACATTGTAGTCCAAACCATTCGGACGCTACAGACGTTTTTTTCCGGGAGAAGACTGATTTTTGGGATGTCTCATGGTCTGACAAACACCACTGTAGCTCGGCCACCTTCCACCACAGATGCCATTGGTGGATGCGGTAGATTGAGACCGAGCCCACGCAAAAAAAGCAGATCTCTGGCTTAAACTGAAGGATTTTGATGGGGAAATGGACTCAAGAGGACTAAATGACTCAAATGTAAATGAAAATGTCTGGCTCAGAGTGGGTTTTGTCTGACCCAGAGAGGGTGGGTCTGGTAGAGTGGGTGTGTCTAGCTTTGAGGCATGTGTTAGCCTAAAGGGGGTGTGTCTGACCCATGTGGGTGTGTCTTTAGCCTAGAGGGGGTGTGTCTAACCTTCTGCTTGGCGCAGTATATGTTCTCCAGGTCATTGATGGGGGGCTGTCTTTCCCGAGCTGTAGCGCCTCTCCACTCCTCAAAGGTACTGCTTATCTCTGTACCGCCTCGTTTTCCTGTCTGTCAGCTCTTGGAGATCTCTCCTACCAAGCTCTATAGCTTGCTGTTAGCTGGGGCAGTCTAAGGGGGGAGAGAGGAGGGAGGAGGAGAGAAAAGAAGAGGATGAGAGAGGAGTGAGGAGGAGAGAAGAGAGAAGAGAAAGGAGGGAGAGTGGAGGGGGAGAGGAGTGAGGGGGGGGGGGGGGGGGAGGGGTTGGGAGGGGGGGGGAGGGGGCCCGGGGGAGGAAGGAGGGAGGAGGGAGAGGAGAGGGAGGAGAAGAGGAAAGGGAGGAGGAAGAAGGGGAGGGAGGAAGGAAGGGAAAGAAAAGGAGAAGAGGAAGGAAGAGGAACGGGAGGGAAGGGAAGGAAGGGGGTTGCAGTCAGGAGGGGTCTGGTTACTCCGTGTTAAGGTTAGGGAGGAAAGTTGAGCAAAGGAGGAAGCAAGGTTTTAAAAATTTTTAAGTTTTAGATTTAGGTTAGGGGCATTAAGGGTTTTTACGGGTTGCTTAGGCATTAGGGTCAGGTTAGGGTCGGTTAAAAGGTTAGGGTCGGGTTGGTTAGGTCAGGAGTTAAGGTTAGGGTTCAGAAGTTATCAGGTTAGGGTCAGAGGTTAAGGGGTTTGGGTCAGAGTTTAAGGTTAGGGTCAGAGTTAAGGTTAGGGTCAGGGTTAGGGTTAGGGTCAGAATTAAAAGGAGGGGGCTGTTTTTTTTTTTCCTTTCTTTTCTTTTCTTTTCCCCCCCTTCCCCCTTTTTTTCTTTCCTCTTTCCTCCTTCCTTTCTCTTCTCTTCCTCTTTCTTTCCCTTTTCTTTCCCTTTTCCCTCTCTTCTCTTCCCCCCTTTTTCCCCCTTTCTTTTTTCTGCCCCCTTTCCTTCCTCTTCTCCCCCTTGGGGTTTTTTGGGCTCCCTCTTTGTTGTTCATCGAGG